TTTTCTTGATGAGTCAGGTTCAATGTCTATCAATCTTGTTTATCTTTTCAAAGAACCAGTTCTTGGTTTCAGTCATCTTTTGAATTGTTTTTTTAGACTGTTTCATTTATTTCTGCTCTTATCTTTATTATTTACTTCCTTCTACTCACTTTCCACTGAATGTAAACAGCAGTTATGGTTAAAAAAATAAAAGCGATTTTTGGCTGACTTTTAGCAATACATATAAAGAGATATAATAGTGCTGATATATTCCATGCTAGTCGGACCATGTCTGTTCAACTACATTCTATTCTAAGTCTAGAGAAACTAATGAGTATAAGTCCAGAGGAATGAATATAGAATTGAAAAAGGATCAGAAACAATGTCACAGACACTTGCAAAAAATGAGGATTGCTTAGAATAGGGGGGAAAAAAGACCCAAAGAATATAACTACAGTGGGGTCTTGACTTACGAGGGTCCCGACTAACAAGTTTTTCAAGACACGAGCTGTCTCTCGGCCGATTTTTTTGCTTTGAGTTGCGAGCTAAAATTCGGATTACGAGCCAGCTTCAGATACCCCACTGCTAGTTGGCACAGCGAACTTCACAGTGAACGCCACATCAGCCCAGCATCACATGTCTCACTCGTTCACTGTTGATTTGACATACAAGTAATTTGAGTTACGAGCTCCGTCATGGAACGAATTAAACTCGTAAGTCAAGGCCCCACTGTATCTTTAAACAATATGAGGGCCTATCAGAGAAAAGAGAGTAGACTTGTCCAATGTTGCTGCAAAAAACAAAATAGGCCATCACTAAGTGCCCAGGGGGTAGATTAATCTCATCATAAGCTAGAACTAATACAATTATGTTTGCCTCCTAGGTACTCTCCAACAAATGAACAGATTCAAGTAAATACCAGTCTATCAAGGACTCCTATTTCAGGAAGAATTCCTATAATATGTAACAGACTGGAGGTGATATTTAAGTTCTCCAATTCTAAAAATGCTATGAATTATATCTTAATTCAAAATTATATAACAAATAAATGCATAAAATTCCAAGGAGTTGATGATTTAATATTTTACCTCATTTTTCTGTAATGGTGGTTTTCCATTTTTCTTACTGCAGAAAAAAAAAAAGAAAGCACTTTATTTGCAAACTATTCCCATCATAAAATTTGTTTTAAGATATCAAAAGAACGTACTAAATTCTCCAAAGGTTTCTTCTTTCACATATCATACATAGACTATATTAAGTATAATAGTACAGCTGCACCTTATTAAGTACTAGAGGCCCAGGGCACGAAATTCGTGAGCGGGTACAGTTCCTAGGCCTGGCCTGCTATCAGGGCCATCTTCCCCAGCTACCCACAGCCAGCCTCGCCCCCCACCGCCACCCATTCCCAGTTCCCCGTTCGCCATCAGGTGATCTGTGCCTGACGGCCAGGGGAAGGGACCGAGAGGTCAGCTGTTCCCGCCTGCTCGCCAGCCCTGCTCCTGTCGCAGGTGGCCATCAGATGACAGGAGCCTGCTGGCCAGGGAAAGGAACCAAGAGGTGGTCAGTGCGCCTCATAGTGACTGGTCCAATGGTCGTTCTGCCATTAGGGTCAATTTTCATATTACCCTTTTATTATCCTATCTAATAAAGAGGGAATATGCAAATTGACCATGACTCCATCACAAAGATGGCGGCACCCAGTCCCCCCAGCCTCGCCAGAATCCCCCAGTGCGGCAGATGCAGCCGGACCTTCTCTCAGCCCCCCAGCCATCTAAGGCCAGCCTGAGGCGCAGGCAAGCCTTGGATGTCGGCTGCCCAGACACCCAGGGCGGTCCCAAGGTGCTGGCAAGCCTCAGATTGTGGCTTCCCCACCACCCAGGGTGGGCCCGAGGTGCTGGCAAGCCTCGGATGGCAGCTGCCCAGCCACCCATGGCCACCTGAGGCTCAGGTAACCAGGACCAGCAGAGGCTTGCGCTGCTGGCAGTGGCAGCAGCATAGGTATGATGGGGGTGTCGCCTTCCTCTGAATTCCGGGTTACCTCCTGTTACTGAGGGCTCCTGTACTGTGAGAGGGGGCAGGATGGACTGAGGGACCCCCCCTCCAGTGCATGAATTTTCATGCCCTGGGCCTCTAGTATAGTATAGAGGCCTAGAGCATGGGTGAGGGCCAGCTGGCCTGCCATGAAAGGGGCCCCAGATCGGGCTCGGGGTCCGAGCTGGGGGGTGGGCCTGCCCAGGCAAGGGGCCATGGACAGTTTGCAGGTCAGTCCAGCCCCCAGCTTTGTCAGGAAGGACGTCTGGTCTATCTGGTCTAATTAGCATATTACCCTTTTATTAGTATAAGTCATTTATAGAAAGTGTTTAATAAATGTTAACTTCTACTATCAGATAATATATATTGGTAAATTTACGTACATACACATATATACTTGTTTTTTCAAATTTTCCCATGGAGAGGTGAAACCTATTTTTCCATCCTTGAATCAAGATTTGGCCACGTTGCCCTGACCAGTTTGGCTCAGTGGATAGAGCATC